GTTTGTGGCATCAACGTGTGCTTTGCCATGCTATATCTTGAGCTACTGTTTTCTGTATATCAATAACTATTGTGCAGTAATCATGTGAATCCACGAAGTAAACAACTGTTTGCAATATTGTGTACTAAGTTTCTTTCGACTCCAACTCTACTGTCACCTGTCTCAACAACATCAATACCTCTCACATCACTGACATTTGTCCTTGTCTAGCAACATCAAACTAATCAGATTGTACGTCTTTCATTGCCGTTGCCGATTTTCTGACTGCGGTACTTAACCACCATCACCATGATCTCGTCATCACTAGTACCAATATAACATAACTCCACAACACTAGCAATCACCAATATGTCACATTGTCCACTTGTGCCATCTATAACTACAATCTCACCTATATTACCAACATGACTAGCTACGTCTCTACTTACAACAACTACTACAACAACTACTACTACAACAACAACTACTACAACTACTACAGCAACTACAACTACTACTACTACTACTACTACAACAACTACTACTACTACAACAACAACTGCTATTACTACAACAACAACTACTACAACAACTATTACTACTACTTACCTTCTATCAAGGATGTCATCACTCTTACCAACTTGAAATGCTATATCAAACAACAAATTGTAAATGTAACCAAACCTACAATTATGACAACTTCGAAATTTTCATTACTAAACTACACATCAAGTGAAAACTGTGAATTGAATATCACTGACAATGTTGGTTACACACAGAATACATGGCACCTTTGACTGGAGTCATATCAGTTGTCTGGACATACATCACTTCCAACCACAATGGATAATGTTCTATAACACAATGACGCGTGTTTTCATCATTAATAACAATGCTATATGAACATCTAATTGGGCACATAATAACTCGGTATTACTGGCAAAGTTGAACGCTCTATTATTCTACTACAACCTTTATGATATTGCTACCTCAAGGTGAACTTCGACATGGTAATCGCTACTAAGGCACTTTCTGTAACTCTGAATATCTATTATAATCATTACTCTCATCTACAATTGGTACAGCTAAGCAACATACAACACACTTTCCTGTGTCACTATAACAGCGCTAGCATGCACTCACCTTGTGACATCAACACCTCTACTACCATTGACATTAGTATCGCTCTAACGACAAGAGTCAATCTACGTACAAACTGTATCATCTTTGTTGTCGATCGTCTGACTGCAACATTTACCCATAATGTTTGTGACATTTACAATTCAAATGAAAGTGATATAGCCAGTGATTAACGGCCGTCGTGATGGATGTCGTGTGAAATGATCACCTCTTGTCATCATTAACTATCGTGTGATGTACTACCCATAGGTAGTGCCGTGACTAATTAAATACATTAGTTCAATCACTTGTCGATGT